ACACCCGTGCGGGCCGGGCCGCAGCGCGGGGCCGGGCGGGAGCGGGGCCGGGGCGGCGCTGGCCGTGCGGTGGCGAGGCGTGCGGCGGGCGGGGCCCGGGGGCGGCGCGGCGGGGCAGGCATACTTACCTGGCGGGGGAGACACCATGATCAGGCAGGTGGTTTTCCCAGGGCGAGGCTCATCCCTTGCACTCCGGGTGTGCTGACCCCTGCGATTTCCCCAAATGCGGGAAACTCGACTGCATAATTTGTGGTAGTGGGGGACTGCGTTCGCGCTCTCCCCTGGTCTCGCGGTTAAAAAACAGATTCAAAATAAACTCTAAATTCCGCGTGTTTGTGCTCCCTCTGGAGGCGTTCATGGGTTATCCCCGGCCCTGTTCCCGCTCTGTTTGTCTCCAGAGTCGTCCCTGCACCGGCCCAGCCCTGCCGGAGGTTGGAGCGCCTGGCACCGAATCGGGACGGGGCACACGACTTGGCTGCAATGCCGTGTTGAATCATCATTTTAAAAAACTAATATTTTAGCTGAGGGTTAGAACCAATCCATTTTGAAGTTAGATACACCAATGATAGCTAATGATTATTAGACACTTAAGCGAAAGCTAATTGTTATATTATGAGCGCATTTGTAGGAGGAAGTGGAGCAAATGAAGCACTATAGGCTCACACTGAAAGCAATGTTTCAGTATGTTTTCCAGCCCCTGGACTCTGTGTCAATCCATCCCGAAGCGGGGCCTTGGATCGTGCAGGGGGGTCACAGAGACCTGACGATGTTCCTGACTCCATCCCTGGGACCACCGACCCAGTTCCAGACCACCGACCCAATTCAAGAGAAGAACTGCGCACGTGTAAAAGACTAAAAACCTAATTTTAATACAGAGCGGGGATGGGCGGTGCTGGGGTTGTGCATATGTATGATTTTGGGAAATAAATAGAAGGCGAAAATCCTTGTGGGATGCAGTCACGCGTTTTGGGGATGACCCCCCCGTGCGTGGTAAACACGCCACCTTTGAACTTTGGCTAGTCAGAGAGTCTTTGTCTGTGATTTTCCTTTCAGCGATTCCCCGTGGGGCCGTGGTGCAGCCCTTGAGCGGCCCGGGCTCCGCGGGCAGCGAGGCTCGGGGACATCGGGGAGCCCGGGGACACATTCCCTGCGGGAATCGGCCGCGCATCCCTGAAGGGGGCGGGCTGCTCCGGTGCCCCGTGCCGCGCCCGGTGCCGCGCCGCCCGCGGCGCTGCCGGTCACCGTTCGCTTCCCGTCCGCAGCGCCCATCGCCACCTCCAGCACCATCTTCCAGCGCGGCTTCGAGCGGGCGCTGCGCCGGCAGAACAAGGAGCAGGTGCCGCCGGCCGCGGCCCCGGAGCCGCCGCCGCGGAAGCAGCACACCGGCAAGGGCGGCAGGAAGGCACCGGGCGGCGACGCTGGAGCCCGGCCCGGCCGCTGCCGCTCGCTGGAGGAGGCCGTGAAAGCCGTGAGTGAGCCCGGGCGGTGCCGCTGGCTCTGCTCCCCTCCTGCTCCACTCCCCCCACACGAGGGGCTTCCCTCTGCATCCCCCCGCACTGCCGGGGCTGCTCTGCGCCATCCCAGCAGCTCTGCCCCTCCAGCTGTGCCCACGGTGACAGCACCGTGTGGCATTCCCGTGTCCCCAGGGAGGCAGGGCAGCCACTCTCAGGTCACTGCTGGGTTGGGGACAGGTCTGGTTCCCTTGTGGCGTTCCTCTCACGGGGTGGGGCTGAGGCGGGGTGCTGCACACCCGGCTCAGTGAGGGAATCCCCGCCCAGGGAGCTCCCAGAGCCTGAGCCTGGCAGCAGGCCCTGGTGGAGCAGCCCCTCGGAGCATCCAGGTGTGAAACAGGGACTGGGCGTGCCTGGTGGAGGCAGGAGAGGGCAGGGAGCTGCTGCTGCTGCCTGGGTTGGTGCTGAGGGTTGCTCAGCAGGTAGGTTGGGTTGCTCATGGCTGCTTCCTCCCTGGGACACTCTGGGTGTGCAGTGTGGGCCAGCTGTGGCTGGGTGTCTGCTTGCCATGAGCACGTGCTGCTTTGGGCTGAGGGCTCCCTGGCCAGGAGCACGTCCTGCTTTGGGGCTCCCTGGCCAGGAGCACATCCTGCTTTGGGCTGAGGCGCTCCCTGGCCAGGAGCAGCTGCCCCAGGCAGCTCTGGAGCTCTGGCAGGGTTTTCTGTGTGGCCTGGGGAGGAGCTGGAAGCACTGCCCTCCGTGGCCCCTGAGGAGCCAGAGTTAGCTGTCCCCTCCCTGTGCTCCAGCCCGGTTGTGCCGGTCTGGTTGAGCCTGTCTGTGTGTCTGTGTGTCGCAGCTGGACCTGGCGGATCTGCAGAAGGAGCTGCAGAAGAGCCGCAGCGTGTTCCCCGAGAACCCCTCGGTGTGGGTGAAGGACCTGGCTGGCTACCTCAACTACAAGCTGCAGGCACCCCGGAGCGACCCCGTGCTGAGCCAGCACCCCCACGGTCCGTGTGCCCTGCCCGGGGCTGGGGGAGCAGGGCAGGGAGCGTTGGGCTGTCCCCACCAGGCACAGCCTTTCCTGGCTGCAGGCACAGGGACACTGCCTGTGCTGCTGGTGAACGGGGGGTTCCTGCAGTCACCCCTTCTGCAGGGGCTCCCTGAGCTCTGCTGCTGCTGCTGCTGCTGCTGCTGCTGCTGCTGCTGCTGCTGCTGCTGGGGGCTTTGGGAGTTCACTCTGCTGTGTGCCCCCAGTGAGGCTGGGGCAGGGTTTTCCTGTCCCTGAGCTCTGCCTGCTGCTGCTGCTGGGGGCTTTGGGAGCTCGTTCTCAGCTGTGTGCCCCCAGTGAGGCTGGGGCAGGGTTTTCCTGTCCTGCTGATCAGCTGGGCCCCATCACACTGAGAATGCCATTTCAGGTGGCAGGGGAGCAGTGTGCTCTCCAGAGCCCTGTCCATGGCACAGATCAGCGTTCCATGGCAGGCCATCCCTTAGGGCTGGGTTAGCTGGCTGCCTCTTATTGTATTTGCTGGGAATGTCCTGACAAAGGCAGGAGTGAAGAATCTGACTCCATGTCCTCAGAAGGCTAGTTTATTAGTTTATGATACTATATTATATTAAAGAGTACTATATTCTATTGAAGAATACTATATTATACTAAAGAATACAAAAAGGATACCTACTAAATGCTAAAAAGATGATAATAATGAAAACTCGTGACCTCTCCAGAGTCCTGACCCAGCTGGGCACTGAAAGACCAAGGAGTCAAAACAACTGAGAATGCAATGAAACAATCACCTGTGGGTGAACAATCTGCAAACACATTCCACACAGCAGAGGCAAATGGGATAAGAATTGTTTTCCTGTTCTCTGAGGCTTCTCAGCTTCCCAGGAGGGAAATCCTGGTGAAGGGATTTTTGCAGGGGATGTGGCACGGGGTCCCTGGGGAGGAGGCAGGGCTGCCCGGCTGGCATGAGGATGAGGATGGGGCACTCCCAGCTCCCCCTGGGCTGGTTCCCCCAGCTCTGCTGGAGCTCCCCAGAGCAGGCTGTCGCTGAGCTGTCCCCTGTCCTCACCCCAGACTACCCGTACTGCCTGGTGGGCAAGGAGCTGAGGAGCATCATCCGCTCCCTGCTGGCAAAGGCCTCGGACGTCCTGGAGCTCTTCTTTGACCACTGCATCTACACCATGCTGCAGGAGCTGGACAAGGCCCAAGGTCAGCCCCTGCGCTCCCCCGGGCTCTGCTGCTCCTGGCCCCTTTGGGGCTCCCCCCCGGAGGCCGTGGCTGAGCAGGGCCTCCCCCGTCTCCGTCCCAGGGGAGTCCCTGCACGGCTACAGGATCTGCATCCAGGCCCTGCTGCTGTACAGGCCCCGCATTGCCACCACCAACCTGGGCAAGGTGAGCTGGGCTCAGCTCTGTGCGTGCTGTAAGCCTGGGGCTGCTCCTGCATCCCGCTGCACAGAGCCCTGGCACCTCCCTGCCCTCCCCTGCCCACGCACTGGCGTCCCCCCTACCAGCAGCCTGCACCCCCAGGGCTGGGTTTGGGGCTCCCCCTGCACCCCCAGGGCGGGGTTTGGGGTTTGCCCTGTCCTCCTGCACCCCCAGAGCTGGGTTTGGGGTTTCCCTTGTCCTCCTGCACCCCCAGGGCGGGGTTTGGGGTTCCCCCTGTCCCCCTGCACCCCCAGAGCTGGGTTTGGGATTTCCCTTGTCCCCCTGCACCCCCAGCGCTGGGTTTGGGGCTCCCCCTGCACCCCCGGGGCTGGGGTTGGGGTTCCCCCTGTCCCCCTGCCCCCCCAGGGCTGGGTTTGGGCTTCCCCTTGTTCCTCTGTACCCCCAGGGCTGGGTTTGGGGTTTCCCCTGCATGCCCAGGCCTGGGTTTGGAGTTCCCCCTGCACCCCCAGGGCTGGGTTTGGGCTTCCCCCTGCACCCCTAGGGCTGGGTTTGGGGTTCCCCCTGTCCCCCTGCACCCCCAGGGCTGGGTTTGGGGTTCCCCCTGCACCCCTAGTGCTGGGTTTGGGGTTGCCCCTGTCCCTCTGCACCCCCAGGGCTGGGTTTGGGGTTCCCTCTCTGGCCCCAGAAGGGCTCCTGGCCTCCCCTGGGGCTGTGGGTCCCTCCCGGGGCTGGGGGCTGCTGCTGCAGGGCTGTTTGGGGGCGCTGGCCCCAGCTGAGCTGTGGTCTCCCCGCAGTACCTGGAGGTGCTGCGCTCCCAGCAGAGCCGCCCGGCCAAGTGCCTGACCGTGCTGTGGGCACTGGGGCAGGCTGGCTTCACGGACCTGCACGAGGGCCTGAGGGGTGAGAGCCAGAGCAGGGGCTGGGAGCCCCTGCTGGCACTGCCTGCACTGCTGCTGTGGTGCTGCTGGGGGGTGGGAAAGGATCCCCAAGGAGCAGCAGTGTGGGATCCCCTCCCAGGGCTGCCAGCACCCCTGCACTCCTGCTGGTGGCATTGCTGAGGGGTGGGAAAGGTTGGGAAGGGTCCCCAAGGAGCAGCAGTGTGGGATTCCCTGCAGGGGCTGCCTGCACTCCTGCTGTGGTGCTGCTGAGGAGTGGGAAAGGCTGGGAAGGATCCTCAAGGAGCAGCAGGGTGGGAAAAGCTGGGAAGGATCATCAAGGAGCAGCAGGGTGGGAAAGGCTGGGAAGGATCCCCAAGGAGCAGTGGGGTGGGAAGGGTTGGGAAGGACCCTCAAGGTCTGCAGTGCAGCTTCCCCCAGCCAGGACGGGGAGATGGGTGGATCCTGGGGAACCATCCTGCCTGGAGGCCAGGCAGCGTGCTGCCCTCTGCTCTGAGCACAGCCGCCCCGGAGCCCTTCCCAGGGACCTGCCTGCCTGTGCCTGGCTGGTTGGGCTGTCCTGGTGCAGGGGGGCCCAGGCAGACCCCGGCTCTGTCCCTGCAGTGTGGCTCGGCGTCATGCTCCCGGTGCTGGGCATCAAGGCCCTGTCGCCCTACGCCGTTTCCTACCTGGACCGGCTGCTGATGTGAGTGACCCCCGTCCTGGGGCTGCTCTGCAGCCAGCACTGCCCTTGCCAGGCCCCCGCAGCTCAGGGCTCTGTCCTGCAGGATGCACCCCAACCTCACCAAAGGCTTCGGCATGATCGGCCCCAAGGACTTCTTCCCCCTCCTGGACTTCGCCTTCATGCCCAACAACTCGCTGTCCCCCAGGTACGCTGCTCCACCCGGGCATGGCTGTGCCACAGGGGGGCCCTGGGTGTCCCTGGTGCCCCGCTGGTGCCCCCCTGGTGCCCCCCAGGCCCTCAGCAGCCTGGCGCTCTCCCCAGCCTGCAGGAGCAGCTGCGGCGCCTGTACCCGCGGCTGAAGGTGCTGGCCCTGGGCGCCCGGCCCGAGGCAGCCCTGCACACCTACTTCCCCTCCTTCCTGTCCCGAGCCATGCCAGCCTGCCCGCCCGCCATGAAGGAGGAGGTGAGCCTGGCACGGCCTCGGTGGGGCTGGGCTCCTGGAGAGGGGGCACTGCTGTCAGCAGGATTCTGATGGCAGGGCGGGTGGAGTAGGGGTCTCTGAGTCAGGGCTCACAAGCTTTTGGAGATGTATTTCACACCCGAGATAGCTCAGCTGCCTTAGAAGGCATAAAATCAGCAGGATGGCTGCTGTGGTAGTGTTGGGAACAAAAAAGTTTTAATAAAAGGCAAAATAACAAAACTCTTTACAGGGAAAAACTGAGCTAGGTGTAAGAGGTTTTTGCTCTTGGTAAAACACCTCACAAAGGCAATTAGTTTCTTTGTTCTCTTATTTTTCTAGTAAATTGCTTAAGTGGGACTTTTTGGCTCTTGGCTAATTGGCTCCTTTTAAGTTTGAGGTGAAGTCCCTCAGGTCCTATGAGGTGTCTTTTTACCTAACTGAGGAAAGAAACTTCTGGGCTTTTTTTGCTTTTAAAGAAAACAAAGGATGGTTTTGTCACTCTGTCAACAGGGGGCACATTGCTATAGGCAGGGGCCATGCTGCCTGCTCCCAGGGATAAGGGATAAGAAAACAAAGGATAGTTTTGTCACTGTCAACAGGGGGCACATTGCTATAGGCAGGGGCCATGCTGCCTGCTCCCAGGGATAAGGGATAAGAGTCTTATCCCAGGATAGGAGTCAGCAAATCCTAGACTGGTTTGGGTGGGAGGGCCCTTGAGGACCATCCAGTTCCCCCCTCTGTGGGCAGGGTGCTGCAGCTGTTTGGTGCCTCAGGAGCTGGCTGGCTGTGGCACGTGTGGGGTGTCTGGTGTGCTGGGCAGGGGGTCACACTAACACCCTGCTGTGCCCCCTGCCCAGCTCCTGAGCTCCTTGAGCCAGTGCCTGAGCCTGGACCCTCTGAGCTTCAGCGTCTGGAGGCAGCTCTACACCAAGCACCTCGCTCAGTCCAGGTCAGTCAGCTGTGCCTGCAGGGGGGCCAGCGCTCACCGGCAGGGCTTTGGGACACCTCCCTCCCTCCTGACCAAGCCCCTGTTCTCCTTCCCCCCAGTTTGCTGCTGAACCACCTCCTGGAGTCCTGGGAGAGCAGCAGCAAGCAGGTAGGGCTGAGCAGGGGCAGGGGCAGCCGTGGGCTGTTTGAGCTCCCCGTGCTGCTGGGGGAGCCCCCTGGGCTGGCAGTGTCCCCTCCTGGTGCCGTGGCAGCCCAGGGGCTCTCTGGGGGCCGGGGGTGCTGACACTGCTCCTGTGTCCCCAAGGTGCAGCAGTCACTGCAGGAAACGGTTCGCTCCTTCACGGTGACAAACGAGGAGCTGGCAGCCAGGGGGGCTGCAGGGGACACGGACGTGGCCGCCTGTGACACTGCCTGCAAGGTGAGGGACAGGGGGGGACGGGCTGGCCCTGCCCAGCAGCCATGGCCAGATCTCAGCTCCCTCCTGCTGGGGCCACGTGCAGGGCCCCGTGGTGGTGGCACGCAGGACGCGCTGGGGACAGATGTGCTGGTCCCTGTCCAGCCCCCAGCTGCTCAGCAGATGTCTGTCCTGGCTGGTGTTGTATTTGCAGAGGCCCTCGTGGCAGGGAGGAATGTCCTGACTTCATGTCCTCAGAAGGCTAATTTATTACTTTATAATACTGTATTGTATTCAAGAATACTACACTATACTTTACAGGGGACGGGCTGGCCCTGCCCAGCAGCAGCCATGGCCAGATCTCAGCTCCCTGCTGGGGCCACGTGCAGGGCCCCGTGGTGGTGGCACGCAGGACACGCTGGGGACAGATGTGCTGGTCCCTGTCCAGCCCCCAGCTGCTCAGCAGATGTCTGTCCTGGCTGGTGTTGTATTTGCAGAGGCCCTCGTGGCAGGGAGGAATGTCCTGACTTCATGTCCTCAGAAGGCTAATTTATTACTTTATAATACTGTATTGTATTCAAGAATACTACACTATACTTTACTAAAGAATACAGAAAGGATACTTAGAGAATGCTGAAAACATGTATTGTATTAAAGAATACTACACTATACTTTACTAAAGAATACAGAAAGGATACTTAGAGAATGCTAAAAAGATAATAATGAAAACTGACTCTCCAGAGTCCCAACACAGCTGGGCACTGAAAGGCCAAAGGGTCAAAACAGCTCAAGCAGAATCCAATGAAACAATCTCCAAACGTTCCACATGACTTGGAACTCCACATAAGCAAAACACAGGAGAAGCAAATGAGATAAAAACTATTTTCCTTTTTCTCTGAGGCTTCTCATCTTCCCAGGAGGGAAATCCTGGTGAAGGGATTTTCCAGAGAACGTGAATGCCACAGGCTGGGGAGCCAGGGGTGGGTGGGGCTGCTGTGCTGGGGCCTCCCTGGTGCCAGCAGCCTGCGGTCACAGTGACAGGGCCTTGTCCCCCACGCAGGAGCTGCTGTGCAAGATGAGGGGCCGGGGGCTGCCCTGGCCACGGCTGCTGCTCGTCCTGCTGCTCTGTGCTGCTGCCTTCGTCCTGCACGACGTGCACACGCACGGCTCCTTCCAGGGTATGCTGGGGAACAGTCCAGGAGCAGAGCTGCTCTGGGAGCTCCAGGCATCCCCCACGTCCCCACGAGTGCCGCATCCACATGGGTTTTAAACTCCCCGCAAGGGATGGGAACGCCACCATTGCCCTGGGCAGCCTGCACAGCCCTTTCCATGGAGAAACTGGCTTTGGTTTGCAACCTAAACCTGCCCTGTCACAAGCTTGAGGCTTTTCCCCTTGCTCAGGAGTGATCCTCCTGCCTGGGGTCACTCCTGTGGCTGTTCCCCTCCGTGTCCCTGTGGCTGCTGTGAGCACTGGGGCCTGTCCATCTGTCCATCTGGGGGTGCAGCACTGCAGGCACACTGCCTGTTCCTTTGGGAGGGTCTGCTAAGGGGGTTCGGGATACTGGGGGTGCAGCACTGCAGGCACACTGCCTGTTCCCCTTTGGGAGGGTCTGCTCAGGGGGCTCTGTCCCCTCCTGGAGCATCTCCTGAGGGGTTCCACAGCACAGCCTGAGCTGTGTGTCCCCCAGAGCCCTTGGGGACAGACGGACACATGTCCCCACAGCTCAAGGAGCTCACTTGTCTCTTGCAGCCTCGTCTTGTGCCCGGCTGCTGCGCTCCTCCGGCGTGCTGCCCGCCTCCCAGCTGGCCTGGCAGAAGGTGTCCCATGCCTGCCTGCAGGGCTACAGGTCTGTGACAGCGCCCTGGTGGCTGCAGGGGCTGGCAGGGAGCTGGGAGCTGTTCCCAGCCCTGCCTGGAAGCACTCAGCTGTGCCCCGTGCTGGCAGCTCCGTGTGGGTGCCGCGGGTGCCGTGGTGCAGCCCCGGCCTCACCTGGGACTCCTTGCAGGTGGCTGGAGCACGGCCTGGCCCAGCACGGTTCCGTGGCCCTGTCTGTCCTGTGGCCACAGCTGGAGCTGCTCTGGAAGACGAGCGCAGAGGTGGCCTGGGCTGTGTCCCAGCAGGGCTGCTCCCTGCTCTCCTGGCTCCATGGCAGCCTGCCCTGGCTCGGCGACTGGGTGAGTGAGGGCTGGGGCACAAGGAGTGCCATGGGGGGCTCGTAGCCCTGGGAAGGCTGTACTGGGGAGCCCTGAGCTGGGGTGGTGACGTGTTTGCCACTGCTGCTGCTGTTCTGGGAAGGGGACAGCCCCACGGCAGGTCTCTGATGCCACCTGTCCTCCCAGATGTGGCAGCAGCCCCCTCCAGCTGTTGGCAGTGGCTGTGGAAGGCAGGGGGCTCGGGGCCCTCCCTGGTGCTGCAGAGGCCAGCGTGGGGTGGCAGGGGGGTGGCATCAGCGTCTCACAGAGCAGAGGGAGCGTGGGCAGGGAGGGGTGAGCTGGGCCCCAGGGGCAGCCGGGGGGGCTGCTGCTCACCCCCGCCCTCTGTGCTGCCCCAGCTGCAGAGCCGGCTCCCCGAGGCGCTGCTGCACCTGGCCGAGTGTGCGCGGGAGCTGCTGCTGTTCCTGCTGCACAGCTGCCTGCTGCCGCTGCTGCAGGGCCTGGCTGCGGCGCTGCAGTGGGAGGGCCCTCCCTGTGCTGCAGAGGCCAGCGTGGGGTGGCACTGGGGTGGCATCAGCGTCTCACAGAGCAGAGGGAGCGTGGGCAGGGAGGGGTGAGCTGGGCCCCAGGGGCAGCCGGGGGGGCTGCTGCTCACCCCCGCCCTCTGTGCTGCCCCAGCTGCAGAGCCGGCTCCCCGAGGCGCTGCTGCACCTGGCCGAGTGTGCGCGGGAGCTGCTGCTGTTCCTGCTGCACAGCTGCCTGCTGCCGCTGCTGCAGGGCCTGGCTGCGGCGCTGCAGTGGGGCTGGCAGAGCTGCCTCGACTCCTGCAGGTGAGCGTGCCCTGCTGTGCTGCCCCCGGGCTGCCCGGCTGCTGCTGTGTGTCCTGTGCCAGCCCGGGGTGTCCCCAGCCCTGCCCTGCCTGTGTCCCTGTGCCAGCCTGGGTGTCCCTGTGCCAGCCTGGGGTGTCCCCTGCCCTCTGCTGTGTGTCCTGTGCCAGCCTGGGTGTCCCTGTGTCAGTGCAGGGTGTCCCCTGCCCTGCCCTGCCTGTGTGTCCCTGTGTCAGCCCAGGGTGTCCCTGTGCCAGCCTGGGTGTCCCTGTGTCAGCCTGGGGTGTCCCCTGCCCTGCCCTGCCTGTGTCCCTGTGCCAGCCCAGGGTGTCCCTGTGCCAGCCTGGGTGTCCCCTGCCCTCTGCTGTGTGTCCTGTGCCAGCCTGGGTGTCCCTGTGTCAGTGCAGGGTGTCCCCTGCCCTGCCCTGCCTGTGTGTCCCTGTGTCAGCCCAGGGTGTCCCTGTGCCAGCCCAGGATGTCCCCAGCCCTGCCCTGCCTGTGTCCCTGTGCCAGCCCAGGGTGTCCCTGTGCCAGCCTGGGTGTCCCCTGCCCTCTGCTGTGTGTCCTGTGCCAGCCCAGGATGTCCTGCTGCCGCTGCTGCAGGGCCTGGCTGCGGCGCTGCAGTGGGGCTGGCAGAGCTGCCTCGACTCCTGCAGGTGAGCGTGCCCTGCTGTGCTGCCCCCGGGCTGCCCGGCTGCTGCTGTGTCCTGTGCCAGCCCGGGGTGTCCCTGTGTCAGCCTGGGGTGTCCCTGTGCCACCCCAGAGTGTCCCCAGCCCAGCCCTGCCTGGGTGTCCCTGTGCCAGCCTGGGGGTCCCCTGCCCTGCCCTGCCTGTGTGTCCCTGTGCCAGCCCAGGGTGTCCCTGTGCCAGCCTGGGTGTCCCCTGCCCTCTGCTGTGTGTCCTGTGCCAGCCTGGGTGTCCCTGTGTCAGCCTGGGGTGTCCCCAGCCCTGCCCTGCCTGTGTCCCTGTGCCAGCCCGGGGTGTCCCTGTGCCAGCCCGGGGTGTCCCTGTGCCACCCCAGGGTGTCCCCAGCCCTGCCCTGCCTGTGTCCCTGTGCCAGCCTGGGTGTCCCTGTGTCAGTGCAGGATGTCCTCTGCCCTGCCCTGCCTGTGTCCCTGTGCCAGCCTGGGTGTCCCTGTGCCAGCCCAGTGTCCCCAGCCCCACCCTGCCCGTGTCCCCCGTCCCTGGTGGCGCTGAGCCCCACGCCGTGTCCTTGCTTTCCAGCGGGGCGGTGACGTGGGCGTGCGTGCGGGACCACCTGGTGGGCTTCACGCGCTGCTCCTGGCTGTACCTGCAGGACGCCGCGCTGGCCCTGCGCGACTGGGCCCTGGCCATCATCTCCGGGCACTGACCCCGTGTTCCGGCTGCCCGGGGTGCCCGGGGGGCAGTGCCCGCAGGAACTTTGGGGCACCTCGGGGCTTTCGGGGAGTTTGTTTTCGGGGCAGACACACACGTCCAGGTTTTCCACCCGCTGTGACCCCTTTGGCTTTCCCTGTCCCGCTGCCCCCGGGTGGGTGACCCCCTCCCCGTGTGCCTCAGCTGCTCACAGGATCGGGGGTGGGCACCTGGAGCCCCCCGCCTCCCCACCCCTCCCCACCGGTCAACAAACGGATTTATTTTATTATTTTTTCCTTACAATCGCTCCCTGGGCTTTGCGTTTCTTCCTAAATGGAGATGGCTGTGCGTGGGGGGGGCAGGGGCTGTCCAGACCATCCCACCAATCCCACCCACCCCGGGGGGGCAGTGCCTCGCTGGACCCCCCTGCCCGGGCTGGGGTGGCTGGAAGGAGCCCAGGGAGCTGCTGGTGCCACCCGCGGGTGGGCCCCGGGTGGGGGGTGCCTGTGGAGTGGGGAGGGGTCGGGTTTGACCCCCGCCTCTGCCCGTGGGGGCGTGTCACCCGTGGGGGTGTGTCACCCGTGGGGGCGTGTCACCCGTGGGGGCGTGTCCCGCGTGGGGGTGTGTCACCCGTGGGGGGTGTCCTGTGTGGGCGTGTCACCCGTGGGGGCGTGTCACCCGTGGGGGCGTGTCCTGTGGGGGTGTGTCACCTGTGGGGGTGTGTCACCTGTGGGGGCGTGTCACCTGTGGGGGTGTGCACGGGGCTTGGGAGTGCCTGTGTTCTTACAGGTGTGCGTGTCTCTGTGCTCGCCCACGTGTGGCACGTACAGGTGTCCGTGCCTCCGTGCACACGTGTGCTCCGTGTACGTGTCCGTGCACAGCCCTGTGCCCAGTCACACTCACTGTGCATTCACGGTCACTGTCCAGTCACACTCCAGTGTCCACTCACGCCCACTGGATGTCCATGGATGTCCGTACACAATCCTGTCCGCTCACACCCGGTGTCCACTCACACCCAATGTCCACTCACGCCCACTCTCAGGTCACACCCAGTGTCTGGTCACACCCACTGTCCACTCGTACCGGGTGTCCATTCGCACTCACTGTCCTTCACACCCCACTGTCCACTCACACCTACTGTCCAGTCTCACGCCAATGTCTGTTCACCCCCAGTGTCCGGTCACACCGTGTCCCCCTGTCCGGTCACACCGTGTCCATCTGTCCGGTCACCCCCAGTGTCCCCCTGTCCGGTCACCTCCGGGGCCGCGGCCGGCGCGGAGCCCAGCGAGGGGCGTGGCCAGGAGCGTAAGGGGCGTGGCCACAGCATGAAGGGGCGTGGTCAGGGCTATATGGGGCGTGACCTGGACCACAAAGGGCGGGGCATGCCATAAGGGGCGTGGCCGTACCGTGGGGGGCGTGGCCTGTGCCCTGCCAGAGAGGGGCGTGGTCGACAGGAGCCGCGGCCCCCGCGCCGCCGCGGCCGTTGCCGAGGCGCCAGCCAATGGGCGGGCGCGTTGCTGGGAGGCGGCAGCCAATGGCCGCGCGCGGTGCTGTTGCCGGGCTGCCCGTACCGGCCGTGCCGCGGCCGTCCCGGGGCGATGCCGGTCCCGGCCCTGCCGGGCCATGGAGATCCGCTGCGGGGGTCTGCTCTTCAGCTCCCGCTTCGACTCGGGCAACCTGGCGCACGTGGAGCAGGTGCGGCCTGCCGAGCCGGGGGGCGGCCCCGCCGCCCGCGCCAGCGCGCTGCCCGCCGCCGACTACGAGTTCAACGTGTGGACGCGGCCCGACTGCGCCCACACGGAGTATGAGAACGGCAACAGGTACGGCCGCGGGATTCCTTCCCCCGGAGCGGGCCGGGAGGGGCCGACAGGGGCCGGGGCTGTCGGGGGAAGGGAGCCGGGGGCGGCAGAGGGGCCCTGGCGGGGCTCGGGGGTCCGACAGCCCCGGAGGGGAGCGGCGGGGCCGGGGCTCTGCAGAGGGGCTGCGGTGCCCTGGAGGGGCTCCGAGAGCTGCCGGGGTGCAGCGGCAGCCCGGGCAGCCCGGGCAGGGCTGAGCAGGCTGAGCCGCTCCCGTCCGCAGGTCCTGGTTCTACTTCAGCGTGCGGGGGGGAGCCCCGGGCAAGCTGATCAAGCTGCACATCCTGAACATGAACAAGCAGAGCCGGCTGTACGCGCAGGGCATGACCCCCTTCGTGCGCACGCTGCCCGTGCGGCCGCGCTGGGAGCGCATCCGGCAGCGCCCCAGCTTCCAGGTGAGAGCCGGGAGCGCCCCGGGCACCGGGCACCGGGAGCCTGCGGGCACTGCCGCGCGGGGCCAGCCCCGGGCCCGGCCCAGCAGCTGCTTTGTTCCTGGCAGCTGCAAGGGAGGGAGGCACAGGAGCAGCCACAGCTGCCGTGCCACGGGGAGAGCCGAGGGACAGCGGGCACGGCACCGCCAGTGCCTGCGGGGGGCCGGGGGAGAGCAGCAGGGCTGGGCTGGGCTGGCTCTGCCCCTGGCTCATTCCCATCCCTCTCCATGTCCCAGGGAGCAGCAGGGCTGTGCTGGGCTGGCTCTGCCCCCGGGCCATTCCCATCCCTCTCCATGTCCCAGAGGATCACAGCAGGGCTGGGCTGGGCTGGCTCTGCCCCCGGGCCATTCCCAGCCCTCTCTGTGTCCCAGAGGCTCACAGCAGGGCTGAGCTGGGCTGGCTCTGCCCCTGGCTCATTCCCAGCCCTCTCCTCGTCCTGTAGAATCACAGCAGGGCTGGGCTGGGCTGGCTCTGCCCCTGCTCCATTCCCATCCCTCTCCATGTCCCAGAGGCTCACAGCAGGGCTGTGCTGGGCTGGCTCTGCCCCTGGCTCATTCCCATCCCTCTCTGTGTCCCAGAGGCTCACAGCAGGGCTGAGCTGGGGTTGCTGTGTCCCTGGCTCGTTCCCAGCCCTGTCCCCGGTGTCCCTGGCAGGTGGTGGAGGCGCAGTTCGTGCTGTCCTTCGTGCACCGCTTCCTGGAGCACCGCGGGGCCACCACCTACTTTGCCTTCTGCTACCCCTTCTCCTACACGGAGTGCCAGGACATGCTGGCACAGCTGGACGGCCGCTTCCAGGACTGCAGGCACATGTCCCCCAGCAGGTCTGCCCCCCACCTTCTCCTTCCTGGCTCTGCCCCACCTTCCTGGCCCTCACACCTTTGGGCTGGGCCGGGCCGGGCTGGGCTGGGCCGGGCCGGGCTGGGCTGGGCCGGGCCGGGCTGGGCTGCCCACAGGGCGGCCCGGGTGTTGGCACCTTTCTGCAGCCCCCGTGTCTGTGCCCAGAATGGCGTTGTGGCCCCGAGGGCTGGAGCATTTGGGCAGTTTGTGGAGCAGAGCCTGAGACCCTTCACTATCACAATATCCTGGGGCAGGCAGGACACCCCCTCACCCCGTCTGTTTGTCCCCAGGTGTTCTTCCTCAGCAGCAGAGTCCACCCAGGGGAAACCCCCTCCAGCTTTGTCTTCAATGGCTTCCTGGACTTCATCCTGCGGGAGGAGGATCCGCGTGCCCAGATGCTGCGGCGCATGTTCGTGTTCAAGCTCATCCCCATGCTGAACCCCGACGGGGTGCTGCGGGGCCACTACCGGTGAGTGCGGGGCCTCCCAGAGCACTGAGTCCAACCGTTCCCCAAGGAAAAGGAGCAGGAGTGGTTTGTTTGAGTGTTGGTTGGTAGATGTGAGTGTCCTTCACTGGTGGGTGTAGATGTGGAAAGGCTGTGAGTTTGCTGAAGAAGAGATCTCAGAAAGCTGATTCTGTGGTTTTTGTAACATTTATAAAACCATGGAATCCTGGATTCACTTGGGTTGGAAAAGCTCTGTGAGACCATTGAGTCCAACCACCCCCAGCAGTGCCCCAGCCACCACTGTCCCTGTCCCCAAGTGCCAAGCCACAGGGCATTTAAACCCTGCAGGGATGGGGAATCCACCCTAGCCCAGAGCAGCCAGTGCTAGGGCTAGACAGCCCTTTCCATAAAGTGTTCCCAATATCCAACCTAAACTTTCCCTGGTTCATCTCAAGGCTGATCTCTGGTCCTGTCTCTTGCTCTCTGGGAGCACAACCTGACCCCTCCACATGGCTCCATTCTCCTGTCGGGGAGTCACAGGGAGTGACAAGGTCCCCCCAGAGCCTCCTTTTCTCCAGGCTGAGCCCCTCCAGCTCCCTCAGCCTCTGCTGGGGCTCCATTCCCTTCCCAGCTCCCTCAGCCTCTGCTGGGGCTCCATTCCCTTCCCAGCTCCCTCAGCCTCTGCTGGGGCTCCATTCCCTTCCCAGCCCCGTTGCTGTCTCTGGGCAGGATCATGCAGGACTCTGCCACACTGTGCAGCTCTGGCAGCCCCTGGGCATTGGTGTGGCCATCGCTGGCACTTTTGGACAGAGCCCGAAGCCCTCGGTGCCCGAGGGGAGCTCAGCCCTGCCGGGAGGGGTGCCGGGAGGCGCTCAGGCTCCGGGCTCTCCCTGCAGGACCGACTCGCGTGGGGTGAACCTGAACCGGCAGTACCTGCACCCCGACGCCGAGCTGCACCCCGCCGTCTACGGCGCCAAGGCCGTGCTGCTCTACCACCACGTCCACAGCCGCGTCCTGCCCGGCTCTCCGGACTGGAGGACGTTTGTCTCCCCTCTCAGCACCAGCTCGCTGAGCTTAAAATCCCCCAACTGTCCCATGCCAGCCGTGGAGGCCGCGCTCTCGGAGCTGGACAAAACCAACAACCTCCGCAACTCCCCCGGCAGTTGGCGTGCCGGCACCCGCTCCGGCCTGGCTGGAGGCAGCCCCAGGACGCCGGGCCAGGATGCCCAGGTGTCAGACAGCACGGAGCCAGCCGCCTGGATCCTCCCATCGAGCCACAGCGGCGAGCGCTGCGAGGAGGGGCCGTGGGCGCCTGCCCCAGCCCCCGCGCCCGAGGCTGCCGAGCCCGCAGAGCCCATCGCACCCCGGGACAGCGGCCTGGCCTACTACGTGGACCTGCACGGGCACGCGTCCAAGCGCGGCTGCTTCATGTACGGCAACAGCTTCAGCGACGAGAACGACCAGGTGAGGGCGCGGCCGAACCCGCGGCTGCTGGGAGCCTCCTGCCGCTCTGCCCCCTGCCCGCGGGCCCCAGTGCTGCTGCTGCTGCTGGGAGAGGGGCGTGATCCCCTCACAGTTCCTTCCTTCCTCCTCCTTTCCTTCCTTCCTCCTCCTTTCTTCTTCTTCCCCCTCTCTCTCCTCCCCCCGTCTGGTGACCAGGGCAGCAGGAGGTCTCAGATTCCCCCTGGGAGCTGGTGTGGGTCAGCAGGGTGTCCCCCCAGCTGGCTGTCAGGAGAGCCCATCGCGGGGTGGGCAGCATGGCCTGGGCACAGCTGGAGCTGGCGAGACCCTGGAACTGGGCAGAGCAGGCCCTGGTGCAAGGCTGTGCTCAGCACTGGTCCCACTGAGCAGGATGAGCAGCCCAGGGCCCCCGGTCACCCCTGTCGCTCCCTGCACTCTGCAGGTGGAGAACATGCTGTTCCCCAAGCTCATCTCCCTGAACTGCCCTCACTTTGACTTCACGGGCTGCAACTTCTCGGAGAAGAACATGTACGCGCGGGACAAGCGGGACGGGCAGTCCAAGGAGGGCAGCGGCCGCGTGGCCGTCTACAAGGCCCTGGGCATCATCCACAGGTAGGGCAGCCCCGGGCACCCCGGGGCACAGACTGCTTCTGCTGGGTGGCATGTGGACAAAGGGAACCAGCTCCGTGGCACACACACCCGAGGGGCCCTGGGCGGGCCAGCAGAGGCTGGGCCTGTTGTGCCACGTGCTGCTGTGTTCATGAGATGCAGGCTCAGCCAGCTCCTTTCCTTCCTCTTCCTCCCCACCCCTCCTGCAGCTGCTCTGGCTGCTCCTCCCTGCTCTTGCACAGCTTTCTGAGGGGAATTCTCCTTTTTCCTGGGTGTTTCTGGCTATATTGAGCTGTAATTAAGTAGAGCTGCAGTGGGCACAGCGTCCCCGTGGCTGTGTGTGAGATTCCAGCCTCAGCCCATCAGTGATCCCGTGAGCTGGGGATGCCTGTGGTCCATCCCTCTCCCACGTGGGATGGGATATTCCTGGGAACATTGCACGGGGTGAGGCAGCCAGACCCACAGACTGGAGTTTCTCTCCGTTTCCTCATCACTTGCTGTGTGCTCAGCTGCTGCTTTGTGCCCAGCACCAGTCCAGCCCCACAGGAGCACACACACATGTGGGCTTTGTCCTGTGACTGACCTGCAGCAGCTCAGGTTGTTGATCCAACATCCCACAAAGTGCTGGGAGTGCTCACGGTGCACGTGTGAGCCCCCAGACAGCCTGGGACAGGGCTGCTCAGGTGTGCTGCCGGGCTGGCCCTGCAGCTGTCCCTGGGCAGGGGACAGATCCTAGCCCACACTTCCCCATCCCTCCTCCTCCAGGAGGAAGTGCTCCAAGGCACCTTGAGGGCCAGGGCAAGGCTGTAGCTGCCCACTCCCTGGCTGGTTGGTGTTGACAGTAGGTAATTCCCTTTCTCTACCCATCAGGGACCCTCCCCTTCCCCATCACCTTCCAGACGTGACCAAGAGGTCTCCTCAGAGGGACCTTGGCACTTTGGGTGCCACCCTCAGACATCCATCCCAAATTCCCAGCACTCTGGTACATCCCCATGTGGGCCGTTCCTGCCGTCGGAGGGTGCTCTCCTCAAAACCCTGCCACTTGCCCTGCACTTCTGTGTGCCTTGGAGCAGGACCCCTTCCTGGTGCAATGGGACCCCCTTTCCAGTGCCCTGAATGTGCTGAAGTGGCTCTCCCAGGGGAACAATGTGGGATACAGCCCTGCCGCGGGTCTGTGGGGTAGCAGGGCTCCCTCGTGCCCCACAGCTACACCCTGGAGTGCAACTACAACACGGGGCGCTCGGTGAACAGCATCCCGGGGGCGTGCCACGACAACGGCCGCGCCAGCCCCCCGCCGCCGCCCGCCTTCCCCTCCCGGTACACCGTGGAACTCTTCGAGCAGGTGCGGGGGCCAGGGCGGCCTGCAGGGGGAGCGAGACCCGGAGGGTGGGCTGGGATGCGGGGCTGGGGTTCCTTTCCTCCCCTTGCTTTGCTGTCCCGAGCTCTAGAGAGCTGCCCCTCTCCCCAGTGCCCCCACTCCCTGGCATTCTTTCTTCATAGAGTCCCCCCATCTTCCCTCGTGCCCCACTTCTCCTGGTGGGTTCCCCTCCCTGTGAACCCCTCACTGCTGCCCCTCTCCCCAGTGCCCCCACTCCCTGGCATTCTCCCTTCCTGGAATTCCCCCATCTTCCCTGATGCTCCCCTTCTCCTGGTGGGTTCCCCTTCCTGTGAGTCCCTCACTGCTGCCCCTCTCCCCAGTGCCCCCACTCCCTGGCATTCTCCCTTCCTGGAATTCCCCCATCTTCCCTGATGCTCCCCTTCTCCTGGTGGGTTCCTCTCCCTGTGAGTCCCTTACTACTGCTCCTCTCCTCAGTGCCCCCACTCCCTGGCATTCTCCTTTCCTGGAATCCCCCCTTCCTGTGCCCTCATTTTCCCCCATGCCCCCATTCTCCTGGTGGGTTCCTCTCCCTGTGAGCCCCACTACTGCTCCTCTCCCCAGTGCCCCACTGCGTCCCTCCTTGCCCGTGTCCCCCGTTGTTCCCCTGTGCCCCCCTGCCCCGTCGCCGTGCCCCGTGCCCGCTGAGCCGCGGTGTCCCGGCAGGTGGGCCGGGCGGTGGCGGTGGCGGCGCTGGACATGGCCGACTGCAACCCCTGGCCGCGGATCGTGCTGTCGGAGCACGCCTGCCTGGGCAACCTGCGCGCCTGGATGCTGAAGCACGTGCGGGGGCTGCGCGGCGCCGGCGCGGGCCCGCGGAGGAGAGGAGGTGCCAGGACCCCCCCCCGGAGCTCCACGTAAGGGCTGGCTGGGGCGAGCGTGGCAGCTGCAGGATAACGGCACTTAGAGATGATAAATGTCCCCAAGTGAGTCGCCTGCCAGGGTCACCTGCCCTGGGCCTAGCTCTTGCCAGCTCTGGGAACGGCGGGTGTCAGTCGCTCTGCTCCCAGCCGGCAGCAGAGAAGGGCACAGAGTGAACTGGTGGGGATTTGCCTGCCCCAGTAGTCGGGGTGGTCTCTCCTGCATCGCATCCAGCACTGCACTGGGCTGGGAGAGGCCGAGGGAGCTGGGAGGCTCAGCCTGAAGCAGAGGGAGCTCAGGGGGACCTTCTTCCTCTCCACAGCTCCCCAACGGCAGGGTGGAGCCGGGGGGGGTCGGGCTCTGCTCCCAGGGAACAGGGGCAGGACAAGGGGAAATGGCCTCAGGCCAGGGGAAGTTCAGGGTGGATATTGGGAACAATTCCTTCCTCGAAAGTCTGTCCAGCACGGGGCAGGGGTGGAGTCTCCATTTCCAGAGGGATTTACAGCCCTGTGGATGTGGCACTTGGGGCCATGGGTGGCCTGGGCAGTGCTGGGGGAGGGTTGGAGTCCAAGGCCTTTTCCAAACTCAGCAATTCCTTGATCTGGGTCTGGGGCTGAGGAAGTGGGAACCCTGAGCCAGCGCTGCTGGGACAGCGATGTACAGCGCAGGGCACTGGGGCTGCAGCTCTCAGGGACAGTCCCGGCGACACCCTTGTCCCCAGCTGTCCCCACCTCCCCAGGAGGAGTCCAGGGCTCTGCCAGAGGAGGGGCTGCAGCCCCAGCACTCGGGGCTGGGCTGTGCTGCTGGGTGGAGGGCGCAGAGGGCAGCCCCTCAGCGTGCTGGGCTGACCCCCATCTCCCACCCCGCAGGGGGCTGCCCACCTCGGCCTCTGACAACGCACTGGCCCGTGCCAGGAGCTTCAGCCACGGCACCAGCGGCAGCGGGGGCAGCCAGCAGGGCTCCCCCCGGATCCGGGCCTCCCCCAGCTTCACCTTCGGCAGCCCCCGGCCCCCGGTGGCCGCCGCGGCCCCGCAGAGCCCCGCGAGCGCGGGCAGCGCCCCGGCCCTGGGCAGAGGTAAGCCAGGCTGGGCAGCCCTTGCACGCCTGCTGCGGCGCCTGTCCAGCTGCTGGGCGGCACCCCGGCCCTGAGGCGGCCAGCACGGACACAGCGACAGCGGGTTTGTGTGGGACAGCGTGCGGGGGGCCTGGCCCCACAGCCGGCTCTGAGCGGGCTCAGGGCTGGCCCTGCACAGCAAGGCCTGCGGTGTTACAGCCCAGCTGAGCTCCTGCTCCACTGCACGTGGGGCTCCTGGGCACTGGGGCTGCAGGGAGATGATCCCCCTCCAGTGCCAGCACCAAGGGGCTTCTGCAGAAGCCAGCACAGAAAACCTCTGCTCAACCTCCCACTGTTCCCAAGCATTCCTGAGGCCAGCAGGGACACACCAAAGTGCCTTTCCCCTCCTTAGGCACTGGCTGGGCAACAGGGGGTTACGACCTGTGGCTGTGGTGAGGTGAGCTGGCAGGGGGCACCAGGGGGTTCCCAACATGCATCCCCTCTCTGGTGGGGGCTGATGTGCTGCAGTGGGGTGCCAGAGTACAGCAGGACACTGGCTGTGCCCTCTGTGCTGGCACTGCCACCGTGGGGCAGGGGCTCAGGGCTGTGGGGAGCAGGCAGTGGCAGCCCTCTGCCCACATCCAAAGGCTCCAAAGCCTCCCAGTGCCCAGGGCTGGGGGTGAGCTGTGTGCCTGAAGCTGTGCTTGTGTTGAGCTGTGTTCCTCTGGTGTCTGTCGTGTTGTCCTCGGGGTTTGCTGCCCAGCCCTCTGTCATGATGTGTCTTGTCTGCCATGAGAACGTGGTGGGGAGGAAATAAAAGGCTGCTGTTCTCATGGGCACGTTGTTCCGTCTGTTCCTTTGGCCGGGCTGCCTGGAGCGACCCCCAGCCCGTCCCTGGCTGAAGGGGCTGGGGGCAGCTGGGCTTTGAGCAGGAACAGAGCGTGTGAGCCAGAGGGCAGAGCCTGGTCCGTGGTGTCCCCAGACTGATCGGGGCCTCCTGCAGCACAGTGGCCAGCAGAGCGAGTGCCCCAGGGCACACTGCACCCTGGCACTGCGACCAGGACCCAGCTGTTCCTCCCCTGCCCTGGCACCAGCCCGACCTGCTTCCTGCCTGGCCACCCCAGCCCTCCCACCACCTCCTGCACCTGCGAGGGGCCCAGCAGTCAGCAGCAGGGGACGGACGAGCTGGGTGTGCTTGGAGCTGTGACAGGGTGCAGACCCGGGGGCCCTGCTCCTGTCCCACCCTCCCCCTGCATCCCCATGTCCCACTGCAGCTGGCCACACCCTGGGGAGCCCAGACCTGTGTTCATGTTGGGGTGAGGGGGTCTGCCAGACCCCCAGAGGCACCCCCAGCTGCTGCTGGCCAAGGCTGGCACCAGCTGAGCTGTTCTAGCCCAGGTGCAGCCAGCTGCCTCTTGGCAGCACCTCCACAGGAGGCAGGGCTGTGGCCCATCCTGCCCAGCACAGGCTCCTGCTTGTTGTGGGGTCTGGCCCTGGCTTCACCCCACTGGGCAGGGTGCCCCCCACTTCTTCTGTGGGATGGGGAAAAAACTGGGCTGGGATAAAGACTACCCAGGGGAGCAGAAACTGAGGCATCTCAGGTGTGTTCCTTCAGTGCTGTGCACTGCACCCAGGCTCCCAAATACCTTCCTTTCCCCAGCTCCCCTGGCCGAGCAGATGTCCCATGTCCCAGGCCATACCCCGTTTCAGAGGGCACGGCTGTGCCCCAAGTCCCCTCTCCTGGCTGAGCCTGGCCAGCGTGGTCACACCAGTGCCATGGGGCACCAAGCCGGGGGCTGGGGCAGAGCCTCTGCAGTGGCAGCACGAGCTGGGATGGAGCTCTGTGCCCATCACATCCTCCCCTGGCACCGGCCACTGCAGGGCCACCCCTCGGTGCTGGGCTGTGTGGAGGGGCCCTCCCTGGCCAGGCTGGCACCCTGCAGGGCACCGTGTCCCTGCTCCAGCCCAGCTCCAGCCCAGCTGTGACTCCGCCGTGGCACTGAGCCTGGCCCTCTGTCTCCTCTGTCACACAGGGACCGTGCCCAAGGGCGCCCGGGCAGCGCCGAGCACCGGCCACGGCCCACGGGAGGCGCAGCGAGGCGTGCAGCAGCTGCAGGACACGGCGCCTCTGCAGGTACCACCGGCACCAGCGCGAGCGACTGGGCTGCAGCAGGGCCTGTGCTGGGAAGGGGCTGCTGGGGGGCTGCCCCAAACACTGGGAGCCCCTCAGGGGCTGGGGCCTCCCCGGCTGTGGGGCTCTGTGGGTATTTCTGTCCCCTGAGACACAGGAATACCCCAGGGACTGGCACTGATCCTGTGCCCCCTCTCACAGGTGCTGCCAATGAAGCTGAATGCCCGCAGAGCCCCGGACAGGCGTGGGTAGGTGCTGCTGCCAGCTGCGGCGTGGGCTCACCCCGGAGCCCCTGCCGGCAGCGGTGCCACCCGGCACAGCCCCTGCCAGCAGCGGTGCCACCCAGCACAGCCCCTGCCGGCAGCGGTGCCACCCGGCACAGCCCCTGCCAGCAATGGTGCCACCCGGCACAGCCCCTGCCGGGCAGAGCTGGGCACCACGCCCCGGGCAGGGGGCTCCGCGGGCAGGGGGCTCCCCCCGGGCAGGGGGCTCCGCGGGCGGGGGGCTCCGTGCCCCGCTGACACCCTCTCTGTCCCACAGGGCTCTGCCTGGTGGCTCCCGTGCCCCCCGCCAGGGCGCCGAGCACCGAGGGACCCTTCCCGTGCTGAGCGCTCCCACGCCCCGAGCGCCGGCCCCGCTTTACCGGGCAGCGGCGGGGCTCCTGCGGCCCTGCTCCGCGCCGGGCACGGCGCTGTCGCTGTCCCCCGCTGCCACCCCCCGGCAGCGCTCGCCCCTGGCGCGGCTGCTGCCCGCGGCGCCGCTGCTGCTGCGCTGAGCGCCGGCGGAACCACGCGGCTCTCTGCTGTATCATCGTGTTCCCGTTAAACTCGCTCTGGAGGAAGCTCGGCCTCGCGCCTCCCGGGGCCCGGCACGGAGGGAGGGAGGGAGGGAGGGGCGGAGGGGCATGGCAGGGCGGGCTCCCCGGTCACCGGGTCCTCACTCCTGCTTCTTGGGGTTGTTGACGGCCACGTAGTGGTAGAGCACGACCAGCAGGAAGAGCGACACGCCCAGCATGTTGGCGAAGATGGCGAGCTGCACGTCCGTGATCATCCTGCGGGCAGGGCCAACGGACGGGCTGGCATCCCGGGGGCACCGCCGCCGGCTCCCGCCTCCCGCCCGGCCCCCGGTGCCCCGGTCCCGCTCCTGCCCGGGTTCTGCTCTCCCCCCGGTTCCCTCTTCTGCCCGGACCCCCGATGCCCTCTCTCCACCCCGGTTCTCACCCCACGCTTCCGGTTCCCGCCCCTGCCCGGAACCCCCGGTACTCCGGTTCCCGCTCGTGCCCAGGCCTCCCGGTGTCCCGGTCACGGTCCCGCTCCCGCCCGGGCCTCCCGGTGCCCCGCTCTCCTCCCGGTTCCCGCTCCTGCCCGGCCCGCCCCGTTCCCGCTGTCCCCCGCGGTGTCCGTTCCTCCCCGGTACCCGCTCTCCCCCGGTCCCCGCTGTCCCCCCGGTTCCTGTTCCAGCCCCGCTCTCCCCCCGGTACCCGCTCTCTCCCGGTGCCCCGGTTCCCGCTCCTGCCCGGCCCGCCCCGTTCCCGCTGTCCCCCCCGGTGTCCGTTCCTCCCCGGTACCCCGCTCTCCCCCGGTTCCCCGGTGTCCCCCCGGTACCCGCTCTCTCCCGGTGCCCCGGTTCCCGTTCCAGCCCGGTTCCCCGGTGTCCCCCCGGTACCCGCTCTCTCCCGGTGCCCCGGTTCCCGTTCCAGCCCGGTTCCCCGGTGTCCCCCCGGTACCCGCTCTCTCCCGGTGCCCCGCGCTCACGCTCCGGCCCCGCCGCTCGGACACGTCTCCCTGCTCGCGCCACTTCCGGCCGCGGAGCACGGCGGGAGGCGCCCGGCCCCGGCGGTGACGTCACGGCAGCCGGGCCCCGGCCGGGCGGCGGGCTCGTGGCCGCCGTGACGTCACGGAGCCCAGCCCCGGCGTGACGTCACGGCCCGGCCCGCCCCCTGGCGGCCCGCGGCTCCGTCTCCATACAAGGCGCTGCGCGAGGGCGGGGCGGGGCCCGGCGGCCCCGGGCGGCCGCGGCTAATTAGCGCTAATGAGCGCAGTGACAGCTCGCTGCGGCTGCTGACAGCGGCGGGCCCGCGGGGCGCGGCGGGGCCGGCTGGGCAGAGACATTCCGGGCGTGCTGGGAGGCGCTGAGCTCTGCTGGGGGCTGCTGGGCTGTACTGGGGTGTACTGAGCCGTACTGGGCTGTACTGGGGTGTACTGGGCCGTACTGGGGTGTACTGGGAGGCGCTGGGCTGTACTGGAGTGTACTGGGGTGTACTGGGGGCTACTGGGGTGTACAGGGCTGTACTGGGCCATACTGAGCTGTACTGGGGGGTACTGAGCTGTACTGGGCCATACTAGGCAGTACTGGGACGTACTGGGCTGTACTGAGCCGTACTGGGCTGTTCTGGCCCATACTGGTCTGTACTGGGCCGCACTGGGTCGTACTGGGCTGTTCCAGGCTGTACAGAGCCGTACTGGGCAGCACTGGGCCATGCTGGTCTGTACTGGGCCGTACTGGAGGCTGCCGGGCCGCAGGAGCCGGCTGCACCGTGTCCCGCGGTGTCCTGGCGCGTGCTGGCGGTCCCCGGTCGGGGGTCCCAGCACCGAGTCCCCCCGGGGCCGTCCCGGTGCCCCCCGCGCTCGGCCACGGAGCCCCTGCGCGGTCTGGGGTCCCCCGGGACCCGGCCCAGACACGCCCCCGCAGCCCCGGGAGCGCCGCGGGGCCGCCGCCATCCCCCCGTGTCCCGGTCCCGGTGTCCCGCCCCGCCGCCGCTCCAGCTGCCGCCAGCTGTGCGTGCTGGATCCTCCCGCGCCGCTCCCCGGGGCGGGGGGTTCCCGCGCCCCGACGTCACCGCGGGGCCGCGGCCAGCGCGTGACGTCACCGCGGGGCCGTGACGTCACCGCCAGGCCCGGGGAAGCCGTGGCATCACCGCGGGCTCGGGGCCGCGGCGGCGCGGGGTGGCCGCGGTGTGCCCGCCGCCGTCGCGGTGTCCCCGCTGTCCCGGTGTCCCGCTGTCCCGGTGTCCCCGCTGTCCCCGGTGTGCCCCGCACGGTGTCGGGTGGGGCTGGGGGCGCGGGGCAGCCCCGGGATCGGTGCTGGCACCGGGCACGGGCTCACGGGCACGCGGGGACGTGGCACTGCCCGTGCGGTGCCGGTGCAGGGACCTGTGGCCGCCGTGCCCAGCGCGGGGGCGAGGAGCGGGGCCACCGGCGCTCGGGGGGACACGGGGCCGGTGCTGGCCGGTGCTGGCCGGTGCTGGCCGGTGCGGAGCCGGTGCTGGCGGAGCGGCGGCCCGGGGTAAGGGGCTGGCCGAGGGGCGGCCGGGGGGAGGGCAGAGCCGAGCCGAGCCGTGCCGAGCCGCCCAGAGCCGCGGAGCCGCGACGGGACAGCACATGCGGTGGTGAGGCGCGCCGGACCGGGCTGAGCGAGCCGAGCGGAGCCGCCCCAGCCCAGCATGGCACCGTGGCTCTGGCCGTGCCTTCTGGCCGCGCAGGCCCTGGCCGCCAACTTCCCCCCCCGGTACAGCCTCTACACCGGCGGGGCCGCCCCGCTCGCCCCCGGCCCGGCCGCGGCCCACAGCGGTGCCCGGGCCGCCAGCCGGCACAGGTAGGAGCCGCGAGCACCGGGGCGACCCGGGCCACTGCGGGGACACGGGCTGCAGCCCCCTGCCCGGTGCCACGGGAGCCCCGGCACGTGCCACGTCCAGCCCGGGGGGCGGCGGGAGGAGCGGGGGGTCCCCGAGCGGGGGCGTCACCGCCGGGCCCGGGGCGGGCGGGCAGTGGGCGCACGTGGAGGGCCGGGGCCGCCGGTGCAGCGGGGCCGAGCATCCCGGGCCGGTCCGCGCTCGGCATCACGCGTGGGTCAGCGCTGCCGGAGAGGGGCGCGGGGGCCCGGAGCCGCCCTCCGCCCGTCCCGGTCCCGTCTCGGTCCGCGGGCAGCCCGGGGCCGTGGGTCGGGGGGCTGGGGGCGGCCCCACGCTGGGCTGGGGTCACCCCGCGTTCGCCGCGGACACAGCAGCGCTGCAGCAGCGCGGCCGCACGGCTGCGGCTGCCCGGCCCCACGGTGGCCCCGGGGGGATGGCGGGACCTGGCCGCAGCCCGGGGTCCCTGGGGAGGGGCGGCGGCGGCGGGGCCGCGGGGCACGGGCACGGTGGAGCCTTTACCTGCGGCTCTGGGGGCTCAGGGGGCTCCCCGCGGGCCGGGGTGCGCAGCGCTCCATCCCCGCGGCTCGGGGAGCGCGGGGGGTGTCCCCACACGCTGCCCGTTCAGGGGAGCTCTGCTCCCATCCCGGGATGGGGACAGCCCCGGAGAGGGGCGGTGGGCCCCAGGGCAGGCCGGGGGTCCCGGGGCCTGGCGGGTGCAGGGCTGGGATGGGGGGGAGACGAGGGGGGCCGTCGGTCGGCGCAGGAATTCCCGGCGGCCCCCGGGGAGGAGCTGGAATCCAGCCGGGGCCTGAGGGGAACCAGCCGGGCTGACGGGAACCGGCCGCCGCACCAGGGCCCCGCGGCGGGGACCGGGGGCCGCTCCCGGGGGGCTGCCCGGGGGGCCCGAGCGGGGCCCGGCTTTGGCTCCCGACCATATAAGGCTGCGACGGGGTCCCGGCAGCGGGGCCAGGCTGCAGTCCCACGCGGGGGGGCCGGGGTCCCCGCGGGCTGCGCCGGGACCAGAGCGCGGCTGCCGCTGCTGCCGCCGCTGCCCCGCGGCACCGAGCGGGCACGGAGCACGCAGGGTGCCCTCCCCGGGCCGGGCAGCGCGGCATGCAGGGCACGGTGCGGCGGGGTGTGGGCACCCCGCTCCTGGCAGAGCCCACCCCGGCCGGGCAGCCACGGCCGGGGGCTGCAGCCGGGGCTGTGGGGTCGCCAGGCGTGGCTGGGAGGCTGCGGCGGGGCAGGATGCGGCCCATTAACCCGCCGCACCGGCCGTGACGGTGCTACCGGTGGGGCTGGTCGGGCAGCACGGGAGCGCGGCGGGGATGCGAGGAGTGGCCAGAGGGGCCGGGTGTGCCTGGGGAGCCGGAGGGTGCCAGGCAAGGCCTGGGGCAGCGGTGTTGCTGTGCCTCTGCCGGGGTGATGCCTGGTGCTGCTCTACGCCAGGACGATGCCCGGTGTGTGAGGGATGCTGTGCTTGGTGTGCGCCGGCACAACGCCCGCTCTGTGCTGGGATGATGCTAGGGCAGTGCCAGGGCAGTGCCAGTGGCTGCTCCGTGCCGGCACGGTGCCTCCTGGGTGCCAGGACAGCCCGCGGGGTGTGCCGGGGTGGTGCCCCGGTGATGCCCGGGCTGTGCCGGGGTGGTGCCGTGTGCCAGCGCGCCCCGGGTGTGTGCCCTGACCCCGTCCCTCCGCAGGAACTGGTGTGCCTACGTGGTGACCCGCAGCGTGAGCTGCGTGGTGGAGGATGGCGTCGAGAGCTTCATCAAGCCAGACTACCAGCCCTGCGCCTGGGGGCAGCTCCAGTGCCCCCGAGTCCTGGCGTGAGTGGGGCTGGGGGCTCTGGAGGGGTTCGGGACGTGCTGGGGGGCAGCCCAGAGCCGGGCGAGCCGCGGCCGCGCCGCCGCCGCTGGTGTTTACCCACCCTGGGGTCATGTTTACTTTTGCGCAAGAGTCAGTGGCCCGGAGCGGTGACCGGAGGGTGACCGGACACTGTCCCCCCCGCTGTCACGTGCAGGCAGAGCCCTGGGGCACCCCGCGGCTCTCTAGACCGGAGCATTGACACGAGTGACACCGGTGTTGGGGCTGGTGACAGGGCAGGGCAGGGGCAGCCCCGGCCGCTGAGCGAGACACCGGCGCTGCTGGCTCAGGCCGCAGCCGGTGCTGGCCCCGTTCCCTGGGGCAGCCCCCCGCCCGGCGAGGGGCTGGCCGAGGG